TGATTAGATGATATTCGCTTCTGAGGTCTAAGGTCGTGATGTAACCCCTTTGCTTAGCTGCGAATTTTTTACGAAGAATCGGTTTTTTGGGCTCTGACATCCTATACGGCGGTACTGCGATGGGTGTGTCATCCATAAGTACGATGCTATGCTCGGCAAACGGAGTTGGATCTTTTAAAGGAACGGAAATTTCAAAAAATTCGCATAGAAGTGAGTTGAGTGTACATCGTTGTTTTTCGCTAAGCATCCGTGCTTCGTTGTCACAAAGTTCGAGTTGGTCGTACTGTACAGTATTGATAACGCAAGTGTTATCAACATTCGAATCGAAAAGGTAAGTATTTACAGGATCTTCACCAAAACTATATCGGTTTTGAGGCACGTTAAGGACGAGGTCAGCCGCTCTGATGAAATCAGTACCGAGAAGTGTGCGGCTGTTATCGTGTTCAGGTACAGAGATGAATTTTGTGGAAACCAATTTATTCTGTAGCAGGACATCACATCGAAATGTGCGAGTGTCAACTCTCCTCGTAACACCGTCTGCTGAAGTCATTAATAAACCCTCGGTGGTAAACGGACCGGAGTCATTTAACAATAGGGGAGATAATGTCGCACCGGCAACACTGCGTTTCGCACTCGTATTAACGAATGCACACCCACGATGACCGTTGATCGCGATAGTTACCAGTGGCCTGGCTTCCAGAGTTTCATCGTCCACGAAATTGATTAAAAACTCGACATCTTGTCCGACGATAACCGTATTTGCATTAGTTTGTTTCGGTTTGCAGTTCGGACAGTTGCTTTTTATATATCCCGACGCGCCATACCTGTAACACGTAACACTGGATGCCGAAGGTTCCGGCGGCTTTGCAGGATTCAAAGTTACCGAAGGTTTAACCGAAGGCGAATATTGTCTATCAGCAGATTTATTTTTGTTTATTCGTTTACGAGCTTCGTCGAATATGTGTCCAGTATATTTACAAAACGAACAGCGTTTTTTGAGTGCACCAGAGTCGTTGTATGCTGTCGGTTCACTAGAAACGTCAAAAACCTCTTCTGTTAAGCGCGCATGCGTGAGTAATTCAATAAATGAAGCTACTTTATCGCGGGGAACTTTCTCGCGAATTTTACGATGCAAAAGTCCGTAAACCATATCAAGCTGGATCTCTTCCGCAAGCGTACCGGGAGGCAGCTTTAAGATAAAACGCGCTTTACATATAAAAATGTCTGATTTGGTTCTCGAGTCCTGCTCACGGGCGAACAGTTCGCGATACACGCGGTAGGCAGGCTTGGTAGGGCCAAAAGTCGAGCGCAACAAGTCTATAGCCTCTTGCCATGTCGTTTGCGTAGATTTTACACCTTGGTACCACGACGCGGCGAAACCGTCCAAAAGAAGACCTTTCAAAGCATTTACGTCCGAAATGTCTGTACAACTTTTGAAAATCTCGATGGCAACGATGAAGGCTTTAACGTGCGTGTCCGACGAACCGTCAAAACGCGAGTTACACTTCGCAAAATTACCACTGTGAGCTACAGCGAGAGGATTTTGAACATGTTGTGCATTACCAATGGCGAGACGATCCAAAAGTTTGCAAAATTGCTCCTGTGTAAGGCTGACGGATGCCATTTTGTTCGAACGAAGATTGTACGAGTGTCCCGAACCTCCCACGATGCAACAATAGCAACAAAAAGAAAATAAAAGACTACTTACAGTTTGGAGGCTTCAAACCAAACAATGGGCTCTTTCACTAAAATTTAAATACGTAATTTAAGTATAAAATCTCAAAGGAGGGACTATTTTAGGCATATATACCAAAAAAAAAAAATATTCTACAAGGTTCAATAAGTTTTTCACAGCCACTTGAATCTACCCAAATTCAAATTTATTTTAAACGCGCCGATTTGCCGACGTCACATAAATATTCTTCATTTCGCTTATGTTGTTGCAAGGAGGACCGGCTCGGCTGTGTTTGCGCTCTGTAAAGATACATAAAGGTTGGAATGCGCTGTTGTCGGTTGTGACTAAATGTAGTGCAGTGTAAAATAAATAAATAAAACTAAACATAAAAAATTGTATTAAATTGTGTTAAGCATAATTAAAAAAAAAAATGTTATAAAATCTTGAATCTATAACTAATTAATTAAACTACTTTTCATGAGATTTTGCCAACATTTCAGAATTAAATCTATTACAAATTTTCAATGTTGACAATTAGTGGCAACACGGTCAAATTGCGAGCTGCGACGTCATAGAAATAAATTCTAGCTTTTTATTTGGAGTTATTTCTTTGTTTTCTGTTTTCTCAAGAAGGACTTTGAATTTTTCAAAAGTAAAAATACAGAAAATTCTGTTTTTAGTTGCTTTATCCAAATATGCCAATTTCAAAAATTAGTGAAAGAGCCCATTATAGAATAAAGACTGACATAAACGGGGCTTTACCCTTGGCTCTACCTGTGTTTGATGCACAATAGTCAATTAATGGCGACGCCAGTCCGCTTTAAACGAAGTCAGTATTGTCGCTAATACCAGACGTAACACAGCTGTTCTGGTTGATAACTCAAAACCGGCAAAAACGTTAGGAAATCAAACGATGTACAAAACAACTTGTATTCGTAAAGATTTCGACAAAGTTTCGCGTCACAGTTGTTTACAATTCAGCTGTTTCTCGGTGATGACTCCCGTACCAAACGAGCGCGAAAAACACCATGGGTTTCGTCGAACAACTACACGAAAATCGCGATCGGCACACAATAATCACTCTACCAGTCTTGAAACTCACCGTGGCCCCACGTTGGGCGCCAATTTGTAAGATAATTCTTAGGGAAGTTGAGTACACGGGAAGAATTAAACGAAAACCGATAGAGAAAACTGATTACTGTATATTGGTCTTATATTAACAAAGAAAACGAAATGAAATTTGCGTTATTCACTATGAGCGTTGACATCTCGTAGTTGACAGGCCGTGTAGCAGGTTGACATCATACAGGGGACCAGCCCATCAGTGGCGTGGGGATTAGGGAATTTTGTTACAATGTGTCTTTTTGAACATTCATCAATTTTAATCTGTCATCCCCTCTCAAATTGCGATAAGTTCACTTGAAGATTCTGCTTCAAAACCATCTAACCTATCAAACTTCAAATACTCAAGAACAAAAACTTGAAAATTTAATTAGAACACATATGACATAATTTACTCTAACTCTATTAAAAATCGTCCATACGCACGCTCTTAGTAATCTAATCAAAATGAAGCGATAATTCTGGACCAGACCGTTCATAAATCCGTTCATATGTGGCGTTTAAAATGAGGGTTTCCGACCGGAAACCCCCGGCTAACGTGGATTTATTTATCGCATCGTATGGAGCTGGAGGATACATTATTGCTACGATTGTAAAATATTGCAAAATTGAATAAAAAGAGCTGTACTTAATTTCCTTGTTAATTAGACGTAACTTTTGTCATTCAATTAAATCATTACCACTTAACATTATCACATAATTATTCTTCTATAGATCTTTTGGTACTGTCTTTGAACGTTTTTCTTTTTATTACCTGAACGGAAGATTACCTAAATGTAATCTGACATTTTATGGATCGTAAAAGCCGTTTAATAATTGTGAGCGAAACACATCCTTCGGGTCATATAAAACTCATAAAGACTGTACACCTTCTATCGCCATAGACGTTTGAGAGGGCTCTAAAAATGTTCTAGAAAAGTTATTGGAAACTTCTCCCATAAGGAAGTAGTTTTATTTTTAATGAAAAGAAAGTTGCACGTAAACAAAATTACGAAAATCAATTTTGGATAATATAATATTTAGTTAGCATAATAATAATGGTGTCAGTAAATAACAAACAAATATATTTAATCCACTAAACCGATAGTACGTACTTATCGAACTAGTGTTGCAATTGAATAATATTAATGCGTGTGGAATTAGGTTGTATTTTGATCGCTATGAGCATTGGAGTTAATTAATAATAACATGTAACTCAATTTACTTAAATCCACCAAAAATCATCAATAACCAAAAGTATTATTATTCATGACGGTATTCTTGCTTTTGAGGAAGCCAAAGTAACAAACTTTTTTTTACACAAACTCCTAAATCCGCTTCGTTTATTTTTTATAATAAAAAAGAAACTTTTCCGTTAAGGAAAAATATCTAAGCGGTAAGTAATGGGAGTTGTTTTGTAATAAACTAATCAACCTTGACATCTGAGGGTGGTCTTTAACTTTAAAAGCAGAATTATTTTAAGAAATTTCCTAATAGGTTTAAAAATGTTTTTTTTTTAAATCTTAAAAGCCAAGAAAGTTTTTGCTAAATGCGGCAGAACATTAAGTCTACTTAAGAGTTAGTGAAGTAGGTAACTTTTTTGAGAAAGATATTTCAAATCAATTTTCTTAATACGTAACACACACCGCAACGATCTAGGGATATTTTGTTTTGTTGTTGAATATAAAAGATATAAAGATTATCAAACGCAATTTCTACTGAAAATATAAAATTGGAACAAACCTGATACTTTTTCACCTTTTCCAATTACTTTTTTTTGTTCTCAGACATTTTTTCCATAAAAATACGTCGTGTTAAATGAAATATCGTAAAAATCAATCGTGCCAAAAGGACTACATTATTTTCTGAAATATGTCTGCCTATATTTAGATGGCTCACGTTTTTATATGAAAATCGTAACCAGACTGGTAGAGGTACTATAACGTTTTTTTCTGAAACTAGATTTATTGTATTTTAATGTAATGCAAATATATATTTCCAAGCAAAACTAAACCATCGCGTATTTTGATAAATGAGCATATCAAAAGCACTTACAAAAAGAGTAGGAAAAGGTTTTTGTATTCGGATAGAAATAAATGTTCATTTTGCGTGTTGCCAAGCACAGTGCACCGTCAACAAGAAAACCAAATCAAAATCGATAAATGACACATAAGTATTTTCGTAATGATAAAGATTGCTTTAAAATATTGACTTTTTTTTTCAGGGACATTCAGTGAGTCAAAACATGTCTTCCGGAGTAATCATTAGTACTCACAGCTTGGTTCTTCAAAGCATTACTAGAGGACAGTCTGGAAATTATACTTGTCTGGCAGCCAATCCAAGAGGAGAAACCATGAGTCCTATAGTGGAACTGAAAGTACGATGTAAGTATACCTACCTTTAGTTTTTATTTCCATTTTGGTCCCCTCTTTGACAGGTTAATGAAGAAGCTTTTCTTTAATTAAAAAAAAAACATATTTTAATTTACATTCTATTGAAACAGCATAGAAAATGTAGAACTGATATCCCAAACCGTTCAAATGTTATCGTGGGATCGGCACGTACAAAGACAAGCACAATGAATTTGTCACGGCAAAATTCGTTTTGTCATTTTAAATCCATTTTTATTCTACAAGCATCTGGAGAAAACTAATTATTTACAGGCTTCTTGACGCAAAAAAAAAATCCCTTTACCGCAGTAGTAGGGTATGTTCAACTGTGTTTTAATATTTTTCAACGTCTATCGAGTAATAACGACATTACTGCTTCATTTGTAATTAAATAAATACTATCCATTACTCATTCCACTATCACTGTTTATAGACTAGCACAAATGAAGCGAAAACCCAATTTTATGAGAGAAATTTTATAAGAAACAAGCGTAGACAATATATTAAATTTTACTTTGTAGATACAATAATATTATAAACTTATGTCTTGAGGAATATTTACTATTTTTAAAATTCTGTTCTGTTCATATTTGGTGTAATGAACAAACAACTTTATGTGTAAATGAAGTACCTATTCTATGTTTCCAGCAACGTTGTATTGCTACATATTATTAATTTTCTTTGCTACATTTGAAAATGGGCAGAATTGAAGCACCTATTAGGGAAACAACATTGCAATACAATCATAACCTCCTAAGTTGTGGAGAAAAATGAGAATAAATGAATCCGTATGTGTTTTGAAACTTACATTACTAATGTTATGGTTGATGTCACTATAATTTTCCTAAATGATTGTTCAACAATATTCTTCACTATATCTAGGATTTTTTTTCAATTCAATTCCAATTTTAAAGAAGCTTTATTGTCGAAAATTATTATGTATAATCATTGACAAAGCAAATACTACAATAATAAATACTTAGATAAAGGTAATACAAATCAGTCAAAACGAGCAAAATAAATGACACATAAAAAAAAAATCGAGAAAGTAAAATGCATAAACAAAACGAGTTAGCACATGAATTTGGATGTAGATGACCGGAAAAAAAACATAGTAACAAACATAGATAAACAAGAAAAAAAATATAAAATAAATTTATAAAATTAAAAAACAAAATCACACCGGGTCATTCATAAAATTCTTGAACGCTATAAAATTCTTTACCATGTAAATAACTCTTCAATTGAACCCGAAAAACCCTATATTATCTTATGGATTTTATTTCGTTTGGAAAATTATTTAAAAAAATTATTCCTTCATAAATTATGGAATGCATTGTTAACTGTGATTTTGAGATTGGCAAAGGCAATGTGTGGTTTCTAAAATTGTAACGATCTACTCTGGAAAATTCACGAAACTTCTTGAATATCAAAGATGCCATCTCCAGTATAACAATACATGGGACGGTCAGTATCTGCTCTCGTACAAAGAGAGGCCTACAACTCTCTCGGCAACTCATCCTGCAGAGATAGCGCGGAGCCCTTTTTCGAAAAATAAACACCGACCTGACCGATGCCTGGGTAGAAAACCCCAAAATGCAATCCCGAATCTAATATGCGACTCCATCAGTGCGTGGTATGCCACCTTACTGAACGCTTGCTTAGCTCATGCTTTTTGGTATGTAGCAGTCCTGTGATAGATTTTTATTGAAATCCTCGATATGTGTCTCAAATCTGAATCTGGAATCCATGTGCATACCGAGGAACCTGACAGTTGATTTGTGTTCTATAGTTCTTCCGTCCAATGTAATGTTGTTAAGATCACACTTAAAAGTCAGTATATTTGTTTTCGATACATTAAAGTCCAAGCAATTTGCATCACACCGTTCCTTTAATATGATCAAGTCTCCTTCAACTGATTGTTTTAGGATTTTCTCATCCTTATGCTTCCAGAGCATTGTCGTGACATCCGCAAAAATCACAAAATTCCCAAGAACAGGCAGAGTTACTAGATCGTTCACGTAGAACAGAAAGAGAACAGTCCCAAGGACGAACCCCTGGGGAACGCCATGTGGCAGATTAGACTCTTCAGAATCTCGCCCGCCTAGAATTTTTACAAATTGGCTTCTTCCCGAAAGATACGACTCAAACCAACTCAATCCCCTTCCCCCAACACCATAATGGCGCATTTTCCGCATCAGTATTCTGTGATTCATGCAGTCAAATGCTTTTGAGAAATCACAAAACACTGCCGCGGCTTTCTCTCTATCATTCAGACCGCGAAAGAGTTTCTCAAGGAATGAGAACATTACGTCACCACAACCTTCACCCTCTCGAAACCCGAACTGTTCCGGTGCGAGAATTCCATTGAGCCTCAGATATTCAACCAATCGTGCTTTGACTATCTTTTCTACATATAATCTTTGACAGAGTAGTCAACAAAGCTATCAGGCGATAGTCAGACGGGTCTTCGCAGTTGCAGCCCTTAAAATTAGGGATGATTACCGCGAGCTTTAGGCAGTCTGGAAATACTCCCGAAGCAAAAGAATCATGTATACAATCTGCAAGTACAGTTATGGCCACGTCAGGTAGGTGCTTGAATACTTTTAGTGACGAACCATCAACTGCTGACGAACTGTGTTTTTTGATGTCTCTCATAATTTTTGTCACCTCATATTTATTTGTTGGTGTTAATTTGAAGGCTTCTGATGGAGAGGATCTTTAATTTGTTTTAGACCACTGACTAGTTATTCAAGTCTGCAGGGCTATTGTTACAATTGACATTTTTTTATGAGGATTGCCACGCATCTCACCTATACAGATTTCTACCTGATATTTTAATACCCCTAGTAACCCATAGTTTTTTTTATTTTTCGTCTTTACTCTGCGGAGAGGAAAGCTTTTATTAAAGATATCCTGAAGAGTCTCTTGCAACGTTTTTATTGAGCTGGCTGATTCATTTACATGTTCCCAGTCAACATTCGTTCTATTGGGGAGCTCTACTCCCTGAGACGAAATTCGAGCCTCTGGACTATGAAGACATTTCACGAGAGAGAAGAAAAACATGCCTACTTAAACATCATTGTGTACTAAAGTAAATTTACTCAACAAAAATAATAACCGGTACAGGGCAAACCCCTGCCTTTGCGACTCAAATGAACGAGGAGAAATACTATCAAATTTACCTCCAAAATCGAGATTATTTGATAGTGTGCATGATTTCATTCTACGAAAAGCAGCTAAATAGAAGATGGACTTGGAGAAGTCCAGACTCATCAGTTAAAATTGAGATTAAAAAGAAAGAAAAGGTGATGGACAAGCAAATACGCGAACACCTCGAAAAATTTGAAATTTTGCCGTTACACCAATCAGCCTTTAGGCTAGGCTGCAGTTGTACCACTGCCCTCGCACATGTAACAGATGATATTTTCCAGCAAACAGATACTGGCAAAATCACAGCACTAATACTTTTGGACTATTCAAAGGCTTTCGACATGGTGAATCATCAATTATTCTTAGCAATACTCCACTGTATAGGTTTCTCGAGTCATTCGGTTGCCTTGATGCAGTTATCTGGACAGACGATACCAATATGTCGATGGACAACAGGGACAATCAGAAAAGAAAAATATAAGCAGCAAAATCCTGCAGGGCGCAATTTTGGCACCAATCATGTTCTCCATTAACACCTGTCACTTAACCTCGTGTCTGAAAAACTGCAAAGGTCATCAATATGCCGATGATAATCAAGTATATGTCTCATTCTATCCAAAAGACTGACAACAAGCAAAGACTCTGCTAGAAGAAGATCTACACCAACTCGTCACCATCTCGGAAAAACGCAATTTGAAAATTAATCCTGCCAAGCAGTTGTCAGGAAATGAATAAAAATGAAAACTTCATTTAAAGTGAATATTTCTAGAAATGCTTACAACATCCGACTGTGCGACAAATTTAGGTTTAATGTTAGACACAGATCTTAACACACGTAAACGAAAACATCAAAAAGGCATATCTTCCATTGAAATTATTATACCCTCACCGGCACCTTCTTGGTGCAAAAATTCGGCTTACCGAAACTTCCTTAGTCATTTCAAATTTGGAGACGTTGTTTATGGACCATGCTTGGGCCAAACTGATACAATCAGAATCCAAAAAGTGCAAAAGTCATGTCTCAGAATGATGTATGGAATTAGAAAATTTATGCCTACAACGACACCTACACTGTCTTGTTTTCTACCATAAAATAATAACAACCAAAACGCCTCCCTATCTCTCAAGTAAAATTCAATACCGAACAGACATACACAACCTAAATCTAAGGTTAAGAGGTTTGACAACTCCACCACAGCATTCAACAGCAATATTTGAACCGAGTTTCCCTTTTAATGCTTACCGCATATACTATAATGGCTTACCCGCACAATTTAAAGATTTAAGTGTTGACTTTAAAAAATTATTACTATTACTCCCAAGGTTGTTTGAAAAGGGTAGGTTGCCAGGGCTGGGACTCTGTAACGAATAGAGATATTTTCTCTATCTCCATTGACGTATCCTCTCTATTCATTTCGACAAGAGAGAATAAGACAGCAAGTGCCATAGTGATAGGGATAACGATCTCTCTCCGTTACAGAGGTCCATCAGCTCTGATAACTTTGTGACGTCATCTGGGATGCCTCAACATAATGCAAATTTCCATAAGGCACCCTAGATGCGTCATAAAATTACCCATTACCAGACAACCTATTAACTTTAGGAACCTTGTACTACTCCAAGAGCAATGACATATCATTAGTTTTTTTCTCTCAACCTCAATTCTGCGCAGTACCATTTACCTATTTGAGTCTTCTTTCCTTACTGGCTTGTAAAAAAAAACTTATAAAAGAAAAAATGATTATGTACCATCGTCACCAATAGTATCTGCGACAAAAATAATGCATAATAATCTCCTGGACTAATTCTAACGTCATTCATTTCAATCATTTCATCATATG